TAGTGTTAATTGTTTGTTATTTTAGTCATGATTTATTTCAAGAGAATTTGAGTAATTTTTAATAATATTTGATTTATTGATTTAATTATTAGATATTGGTATTCATTGGAATCACTGTTACTTTTTCCCGATTTTAAATTTAACAATCTAAGGCGGGAAACACATACTATATGTAGTCTATAGTCTAGTCTTTAGTCCAATCTACACTCTAGTCTATAGTCTAGTCTTTAGTCCAATCTACACTCTAGTCTATAGTCCAGTCTATAGTCTAGTCTATAGTCTAGTCTATAGTCTAGTCTATAGTCTAGTCTATAGTCTAGTCTATAGTCTAGTCTATAGTCTAGTCTATAGTCTAGTCTATAGTCTAGTCTATAGTCTAGTCTATAGTCTAGTCTATAGTCTATAGTCTAGTCTATAGTCTATAGTCTAGTCTATAGTCTAGTCTATAGTCTAGTCTATAGTCTAGTCTATAGTCTAGTCTATAGTCTAGTCTATAGTCTAGTCTATAGTCTAGTCTATAGTCTAGTCTATAGTCTAGTCTATAGTCTAGTCTATAGTCTAGTCTATAGTCTAGTCTATAGTCTAGTCTAGTCTATAGTCTAGTCTATGCTACAGTCTAGTCTATAGTCTAGTCTAGTCTATAGGCTAGTCTATAGTCTAGTCTATAGTCTAGTCTATAGTCTAGTCTAGTCTAGTCTATAGTCTAGTCTATAATCTGGTCTATAGTCTAGTCTATAGTCGAGTCTATAGTCTAGGTCTATAGTCTAGTCTATAGTCTAGTCTATAGTCTATCTATAGTCTAGTCTATAGTCTAGGTCTATAGTCTAGTCTAGTCTAGTCTAGTCTATAGTTAGTCTATAGTCTAGTCTATAGTCTAGTCTATAGTCTAGTCTATAGTCTAGTCTATAGTCTAGTCTATAGTCTAGTCTATAGTCGAGTCTATAGTCGAGTCTATAGTCTAGTCTATAGTCTAGTCTATATTCTAGTCTATAGTCTAGTCTATAGTCGAGTCTATAGTCTAGTCTATAGTCTAGTCTATAGTCTAGTCTATAGTCTAGTCTATAGTCTAGTCTTAGTCTATAGTCTAGTCTATAGTCTCTAGTCTATAGTCTAGTCTATAGTCTAGTCTATAGTCTAGTCTATAGTCTAGTCTATAGTCTAGTCTATAGTCTTAGTCTATAGTCTAGTTAGTCTATAGTCTAGTGTATAGTCCTAGTCTGTCTATAGTCTAGTTAGTATAGTCTAGTGCTATGTCTAGGTCTAGTCTATAGTCTAGTCTATAGTCTAGTCTATAGTCTAGGATATAGTCTAGTCTATAGTCTAGTCTATAGTCTAGTCTATAGTCTAGTCTATAGTCTAGTCTATAGTCTAGTCTATAGTCTAGTCTATAGTCTAGTCTATAGTCTAGTCTATAGTCTATTCTATAGTCTAGTCTATAGTCTAGTCTATAGTCCTAGTCTATAGTCTAGTCTATAGTCTAGTCTATAGTCTAGTCTATAGTCTAGTCTATAGTCTAGTCTAAAGTCTAGTCTAAAGTCTAGTCTGTAGTCTAGTCTTGTTAAATTTAATTCAAATTAAAATTTGAAAAATATTTATAAATGTATAATAATTATACATTAAAAGGGAAATGTGTAAATAACTAAAATTAACAACACAAAAATATTAATATTTTATTAATAAACATCAAAAAATATGAAAAATACAATTGCTTGTTAATTAAAAAATAAACGAAATATTAAATTAAACTAAATGAACATCAAAAATGACGTCAATACTATGACGTTTAATGATTACTAAAAATATATTTCTTTAGAATTCCAATAAATTAATAAACAAATTTAGAAAAAAAACGCTGATATAAAATTGACATTTTTAAAATTTGAAAGTAAAGTAACTTTTTTTAGAGGATAAAAATCTTTAGACATTTTAAAAAGAAATCATTGACGTCATAAATATTAATACAATTTAATTTATATTATAATATAAAAAGTATTTAAACAAATATGTGATAATTTATAATAGTATTTTCTAGTTATTTAAACAATTAACGTCATAAACTTTATCATAGTTTATTTTAAAAGGGGTTTAAATAAAAAATCGAGACTAGAAGTGCTTTGATTACAACAATTTAAAAGTTTGATATCATTTTGTAAGGTTTTTGTATTTTACCTGCGTTTTCTAGCAGACACGCGCCAAATCCATGATAAAATGAAAAGGTATTTAATGGATTTCATTTTAAAAATAAATAGTTGTTACCTAAGAAATTTGTTGCTTAATGTTGGCAAATGCATTTCAATGAATTTGTTTAAATAAAAATGGCTACACACACACACACTTTTATGAAATGTTTGAAAGACAAAAATACGTAAATTTGTAAATTAACTTACCGCTTTGCGTGACATTTGTTTTAAAATCCTTTACAATAAATTTTATAAATTATATATAAAAAATCAACAAATACAAAATGTTTTTTTGTTTTATTTACACTAGTGGAAAATATCTGTAAAGAAAAACAATAAACAAAAAAACAGGAGATTAGTGTTAAATTAACAAAAATAGCAGGCAATAAATGGGAGACAATAAATTAAACAAAATACATTCAGGTTTATTTTAAATTAATATATTAATATAAAAATAGAGAAAATAAAAGTAAACTGTTAAATGATTCATTATTTTTGTATAATTTGAGGTTAAATTTGACAGCTGGAGTTTGTAAATAATAATAATAATAATAAACAAATGATGTGTTTTCAAACTGACTGACAGTTCAGGTTTAAAGTTTGTTTTTTTTTTTAATTAATTGCCGTCATCTTGTATGTGATGATGTGTTAAGAAAAAAATGTTAAAATAATAAAACGTTCAATGAGTTTTGTTTTCTCCATATTTGGTTAGATCTTGTTATTGAAAGCAGTAAAAAAATTATTGTTTTTTTTTTTTTTTTGCAATAAGTATAAGGTAATTTACAATATGTTTATAAAGTTGAATATTGCATTTATTAATAAAATATTAAATTAAACACAAATATGGTAAAACAATAAAAATACATTAAAGGCATAAAAATTTTAATTATGACAGATCTATAGTGTCTGTAGTCAGGTCTATAGTCTACAGAGTAGTATACAGTCTAAACTAGAATCTAGTTTATAGTCTAATACAGTCTAGTCTGTAATAAGTCTATAATTTAGTCTATAGTCTGCTTTATAGTCTAGTCTGTAGTCTAGTCTATAGTCTAGTCTATAGTCTAGGTCTATAGTCTAGTCTATAGTCTAGTCTATAGTCTAGTCTATAGTCCAGTCTATAGTCTAGTCTATAGTCTACTCTATAGTCTAGTCTATAGTCTAGTCTATAGTCTAGTCTATAGTCTAGTCTATAGTCTAGTCTATAGTCTAGTCTATAGTCTAGTCTATAGTCTAGTCTATAGTCTAGTCTATAGTCTAGTCTATAGTCTAGTCTATAGTCTAGTCTATAGTCTAGTCTATAGTCTAGTCTATAGTCTAGTCTATAGTCTAGTCTATAGTCTAGTCTATAGTGTAGTCTATAGTGTAGTCTATAGTGTAGTCTATAGTCTAGTCTATAGTCTAGTCTAGTCTATAGTCTAGTCTATAGTCTAGTCTATAGTCTAGTCTGTAGTCTAGTCTATAGTCTAGTCTATAGTCTAGTCTATAGTCTAGTCTATAGTCCAGTCTATAGTCTAGTCTGTAGTCTAGTCTATAGTCTAGTCTATAGTCTAGTCTATAGTCTAGTCTATAGTCTAGTCTATAGTCTAGTCTATAGTCTAGTCTATAGTCTAGTCTATAGTCTAGTCTATAGTTTAGTTTATAGTCTAGTCTATAGTCAAGTCTATAGTCTAGTCTATAGTCTAGTCTATAGTCTAGTCTATAGTCTAGTCTATAGTCTAGTCTAGTCTAGTATATAGTCTAGTCTATAGTCTAGTATATAGTCTAGTATATAGTCTAGTCTATAGTCTAATCTATAGTCTAGTCAATAGTTTAGGTCTATAGTTTAGTCTATAGTTTAGTCTATAGTTTAGTCTATAGTCTAGTCTATAATTAGTCTATAGTTAAGTCCACAGTCCAGTTCTTAGTCCAATTTATAGTCCAGTCTATAGTGTAGTTCACAGTCTAGACTATAGTCTAGCATAGAATCTACCCTTAAGTCTCAGGTCTATATTTCTTTCAAAGAAATCTGTAAAATTTCCTATTGGGTTCTTTAGCAAGTCTGGCGCTTGGAAAAACAGCACAAAAAACACCCACATTATTTATTGCTCACTATGAAAAAGGAAAAACATGAAAACAGATTTTGACATTAAACTAAATTAAGACACAAAATCGCTTAAAAATAGCATCAGTGGCAGCAGATATGTGGTGCCTTTTGTCTGTCTATAAACTGTCTGGATTTTCGTTTCATTTAATCATGTAATGTCAGCCAACTAGCAGGCAGACAGAATGTAAACACAGATGCTCTTGTCGGGGGAAGTATGGACAGACATTTAGTCAGACAATAGTTAATTGACAATGACAATATCTTGAAAATAAAATCTTGTATTGTTTGTGTCAGTGCTGTAAAGCGTTTTTAATTTATAGTGTAAAATTGTTAATCAAAAAAGAAATGTCAATTTAAACAAGTATTTTTATAAAGAATTTGTATTGAAATTTGTGCTGAAAAACTTCTAAGAAATAAATGTTTAAAAAGTCTACGTCATTTCCTTTTGGTTTATAGCTCGCCAAAAAAATTTTTGCCTCAAAGTGTAAAATATAGATGATTGAAATGTTTTTAACATTTTAATAAAATTATTAAACAAATATTATCATATGTATGTCTAAAATTTAACATAAAATTAGGCAAAAAAGAAATAAATTTAAAAAAAAACATGCATATTTATGACGTTTCTTTATTGCCCACAGGAAATCTTTGAGAATTTTTTTCTAATCGCCGGCAATATGACTCAAACTACATGACTAATAAATGGATTGTGTTTTATGGGGTTTTGCTGTATATAATAATAAACACGTGATTTATAAATAAATATACAAATATAGTAATTTTAATTAATTATACAAATGTTGATGTAATTTAAACTAGAAACTGTTTTATATTAGTTTACAATAAACAAAATATAAATAAACTATTAAAAATTTAAACATATATAAACAGAAAATGAAATTATTAAAATTTGTTGATTTAAAATTAATTTCCCTTAAAAATTTGGTTGAAATAATGTATTTTACATTTAAAGTAAAAAATCGCTGAAATACGAATCTTATTTTAAAACTCCGGCATCTCTTTTATTTGTTTACAAAACGCTACACTTCATATTTTTGTCATTTGCTTTGGCAGCACAGTATAAACATTAAGGTCAATTTAGTGTTTTTATGTTTTAAGTCTGGGTCAATTAAACAAAACTCTTTAATATCTATTCCGTATTAGTACTATTCGGAAAAATTTTGAAAAAAATAATCCCATTTTTACTTAAACTTCTTTTAAAACCAAGTTTAAAAACCAAAATTTAAAACTTAAAAACACTTAAATTTTATATAAAAATATTCTTATTTGTTAACACACAAAAATTTATTATTAACATATAAATAAGATGTGAAGAAATGTAATTTGCCTTGAACTTGATTTTAACTTTGAAAATCATAACAACAAAATCAAAAAAAATACTGAAAAAAAAATCATCAAAAAAACACTAACACCAATTTGAAACGAAATGCAGCAAACAGCAGCGTTTATTGTCTGGCATTTATAAATTTTATACATACAAATCCATATTTTTTTTTTCGCAAATGATTGTTTAACAGACTATTATTCGTAAAAATACACAAAAAACTGAATATAAAATAAAAAAATAAAAGTAAAATAATAATAAAAAAAAAAACACACAAAAGATGAAGATCATGAACAGCGAGAGCAACAAAATATAAAAAAGCTATAAAAAGATATTTCAACAAAAAAGTGCAATTCAAAAAATATATATTCATTTGAAAAGAAGATACAGACTGTTTATGTGTAGTATAGATTGTTGTTGTTGTTGTGCTGTTTGTATATAGAGGAAGGACGGTTAAATGTTGTGAAGATGAGGTTAATGGTACTTAAAACATCAATTTTTAACTACATATTCTGTGTGTGTATTTTTTTTTAATATTTTTTCACACATATATTTTTCAGTTTTTGATTTATTGACTTTGTTGACCTGAGGGTTTTTATTTAAATATATTAATTAAAAAAATATTTTATATAGTTTTGAGTTTTGAGCTTTAAAAACTGCTAAATTGACATTAAAGTTTGGTGCATAAAAAACGCTAAATTGTCATTAATGTTTGTTTTGGGACTCAAAAATTTATTAACAGTTTAAGTGTTAGGTCCAAATTATACTCCCGACTAAATTAGATTATAGTTCAAACTATATACTAGACTATAACCGAAACTATACATCAGACTATTGACTACGATATGCATAGTGCCGACTATAGCCTAAACTATAGTTCAGACTATAGATTATACTATAGCCCAGAAACTAGAACGGACAGTAGTCCCGACTATAGACTAAACTATCGTTCCCACGACAATTGGATTTTCGCTCCGGAACGACCCGAGTCATACTCGGCCAAAGATTGTCAACCCAGCGACAGCTGTATCAACCGAAAATTTTTTCGGCCACAGTCGAACTGTTACAACAACAACAACATAGACTAAACTATAGTCCAGACTATAGGACTAGACTATAGTGAAGACCACAGACTGAACTATAGACTAGACTTTAGTCCAGATCACAGATTAGATTACAATCCAGACTATAGACTAGATTATAGTTCAGATTAGACTTTAGACTAGACTTCAGACTAAACTATATACTTTGGTTCAGACTATAGACTAGACTATAGTCCAGATTAGACTTTAGACTAGACTTCAGACTAAACTATATACTATACTATAGACTAGACTTTAGATTAGACTATAGGCTAGACCATAGACTAGACTATAGACTAGACTATAGACTAGACTATAGACTAGACTATAGACTAGACTATAGACTAGACTATAGACTAGACTATAGACTAGACTATAGACTAGACTAGACTATAGACTAGACTAAGACTAGACTATAGACTAGACTAAAGACTAGACTATAGACTAGACTATAGACTAGACTATAGACTAGACTATAGACTAGACTATAGACTAGACTATAGACTAGACTATAAACTAGACTATAGACTAGACTATAGATTAGACTATAAACTAGACCATAGATTAGACTATAGATTAGACTATAAACTAGACTATAGATTAGACTATAGACTAGACTATAGACTATACTATAGACTAGACTATAGTCCTAACTAGAATATAGACTAGACTATAGACTAGACTATAGACTAGACTATAAACTAGACTATAGACTAGACTATAGATTAGACTATAAACTAGACTATAGATTAGACTATAGATTAGACTATAAACTAGACTATAGATTAGACTATAGACTAGACTATAGAC